AATTATGAAAGACATGTTAAAGTTCCAAATTCTAATTGTGGTTAGAATGTCTTTTTCCGCTTGCTCTGTAAATTTTGAAGATCTGTTGTTAGCTCCATTTAGGATCCTAACATATTTAGGATTTTGTTTATCATTATGCAATTAGTGTCTTTATTTATCCCTGACAATATTCTTTGTTCTGGTGTTGACTTTGCCTGATAGTAATCTAGCCATTTCCTCTTTTGATTAGTGTTTGCATCATATATCATATTCTATACTTTCCCCCATAACCCGTCTATATTTAATGTGGGTAAATAGTTGTGCTTTTTAAAAAATATCCTGTCTGACAGTCTGTCTTAACTCATATAATACAACATGAACGTGAATTAATAGAATCGCTAATTCATCTAATAGATTCATTTACCTTTGGTGTAAGTATTGTTATTGTTGGATTAAAATCTACCATCTTGCTAGTTGTTTTCTATTTGTCCCATCTCTTGTTTCTCTTTTCCTCTCTGCTTTTCTTTAAATTAATGGAGTATTTTTTTTTTTTTAGAATAATTCTATATTTTATTTATTTATTTATTTTTGGCTGTGTTGGGTCTTCGTTTCTGTGCGAGGGCTTTCTCCAGTTGCGGCAAGCAGGGGCCACTCTTCATCGCGGTGCGCGGGCCTCTTCACTATCGCGGCCTCTCTTGTTGAGGAGCACAGGCTCCAGACGCGCAGGCTCAGTAGTTGTGGCTCACGGGCCTAGTTGCTCCGCGGAATGTGGGATCCTCCCAGACCGGGGCACGAACCCGTGTCCCCTGCATTGGCAGGCAGATTCTCAACCACTGCGCCACCAGGGAAGCCCATGGAGTATTTTTTATCCTCACTATTGTCTTACTTATTATAGTTATTTAACTTTTCTCTCGTTTCCCTTGAGTTTCCAGTGAATATCTTTAGTTAATTGTCCTCTTTCTTCAAATAACAGGATTAGTTTTTTAGGTAGTGCAAGGGCCTTATAACAGTATCTCCCATCCTTTATTAGTTTTCTATTGCTATCTATACTATGGTAAAATCACTTTGATGATAAGTAATGTTTTTTGAATCACAAGTTATATCAAGCTACTTAAAAAAAGTCCCTGTGCTGTCCAAAATTAGAACAAGGAGGAAGACATGCATTTCAACACACATTTGGAGTAGATATATTTTCTGAGCTTTCTGCTACAGTTCGAGAAGCAGTTTTTGGACCTTAATTAAGCAGTTTTAACCTACCTTAAGCAGTTTTTGGACCTTATGCAAAGGACATTTACATATTTCAAAAATCCACTTAACATTGCAGTTGAGGAGCTTCCACCTAAACTTCAATGAAGTGATTAATTTGCAATGTAATGACAGGATAAGAGGCACATATCAAGAGAAAAATCCAAAAGAACTCAATAAATGCCTTCCAAGTGAAGATTTTTTTTTTGCTCAAAGCCATATGTTCATAGATTAATAGCAGCATTTGATGATGGCACTTATCTGCATGAAAAGACACTCTTAAAGGTGAAAAGCATATGGGCTTCCCTGGTGGCGCAGTGGTTGAGAGTCCGCCTGCCGAGGCAGGGGACACGGGTTTGTGCCCCGGTCCGGGAGGATCCCACATGCCGCAGAGCGGCTGGGCCCGTGAGCCATGGCCGCTGAGCCTGCGCATCCGGAGTCTGTGCTCCGCAACGGGAGAGGCCACAACAGTGAGAGGCCCGCATACCGCAGGAAAAAAAAAAAAAAAAAGATGAAAAGCATAGGGACTTCCCTGGTGGTCCTGTGGTAAAGAACCTGGCTTCCAATGCAGGGGACGCGGGTTCGATCCCTGGTCGGGGAACTAAGATCCCACATGCCACAGGGCAACTAAGCCTGCGTGCCACAACTACTGAGCTCGTGCGCCTCAACTAGAGCCTGCGTACAGCAAACTACAGAGCCCACGCACCCTGGAGCCTGCGCCCCACAACTAGAGAAGGAAAAAACCCGCATGCCACAACCAGAGAGGTCTGCCCGCCGCAACTAGAGAGAAGCCTGAGCAGAACGCACGGGATAATGAAAAGATCCTGCATGCCTCAACGAAGATCCCGAGTGCTACAACTAAGACCTGACGCAGCCAAAAAAAAAAAGATGAAAGCATAAAATATAGGGTTGGCCAAAAAGTTCTGGCCAACCCAATATCATTACAGTTCACCATTAACAGAACATTTACAATTGATTTTGATGATAGAGAATGCTAACTTTGAACCCCAATTAAGTAAAATGTTATTCCTCCCCTCTCCAAAATTTCAGTCTTCTCATTAGTAGATTTATATTATAAAATATTATATCCAATTCGTATTATTACTGTTTTTGAGGAAATGGTTCCTTCTTATAAGAAAACCTACATAATATCCTTAATTTTATCTTATGGTTGGCAAATTCTAAAATATTTGCTATCTGGCCCTTTATAGAAAGTGTTTATGGACCTCTGGACTAAAGCCTTCAAATATATTCATCATAGCATTTAAAATTCCCCGTGTGATAGTTCCAAAATCCACGTTATGTCTTACTCTAGTTCTGTTGATTGGTTTGTCTCTTGAAAGAGTGTTGTTTATTTTTTGTTTGTTTGTTTGTTTTATTGTGTGTCTTGTTATTTTTGGTTGAAAGTTAGCCATCTTGTGTAGAATAGTAGAGACTTAAGCAATACTATTTATGTCCAGAAATGGGTATGTCTTTTCTTTAGTAGGGAGTGTTGACATAATTGTGTCCTGATTGTCTCTGATTTTTGTTGTTGCTATGGTTACCCTCAATATGCAGCAGGCTTCAAACTCTTCTAGTGTTATTTTTTGCTTAGAGTGGTAGCTGATTTGTTGGAGAGTTTTTCTCAGTGTCTTCTCCACTCTCACCTGTCTGTCCTCTCTTTGTGCCTGTGTCTCACAGAAGATGTCTCTCCATGCTTTTACTCTCTCTTCTAGCAATAGACTGCTGTTACTTGTTCCTGGACACTTGCTAGTGGAGGGAGGAGGTGGGGCATTCTTTGTTGTCCTGATTCAGCCTCCCTCTTAGGCAGGTGCTATATTCTTGGCTCTCAGAGAAGAGGCCTTCTCATTGACCTTGACCCTCTCGCTGTATAGCAGATCTCTATAAGTCTGGTCCAGGAGAGTTTCCTGCTCCTCCCCCAGGGATAGAGGTTATTTTATGTTCTCTTCACCCAGCTACAGTAGGCTTTAAACTGTGTCCTGAAAATTACAGTTTTATGCCCTTCCCCTAGTTGCATAAGGCAGCATCTCCTCCTCTTCCTCCTCCTTCTCCTCCTTCTCCTTCTTCTTTGGCAGCACAGGGGGAGAGGAAACAGTATAGAAGGACCCAGCCCAGACTTCATACCTTTCCCATAGTGATTCCTGCTTACCTCTCCAAAGACTGCACTGTAATTAAGGCTTACAATTTTTTTAAATTAATTAATTAATTTATGGCTGTGTTGGGTCTCCGGTGCTGCACGCGGGCTTTCCCCAGTTGCGGCGAGCGGGGGCCACTCTTTGCTGCAGTACGTGGGCTTCTCACTGTGGCAGCCCCCCCTGCTGTGGAGCACAGGCTCTAGGCGCATGGGCTTCAGTAGTTGCAGTGCGTGGGCTCAGTAGTTCTGGCTCACGGGCTCTAGAGCACAGGCTCAGTAGTTGTGGCGCACGGGCCCTGCTGCTCCGCAGCATGTGGGATCTTCCCGGACCAGGGCTCGAACCTGTGTACCCTGCACTGGCAGGTGGACTCCCAACCACTGCGTCACCAGGGAAGCCCCAAGGCTTACAATTTTAACTTCTCAGTTTAAAAACTTCCTTGACTTTCCTAAAATATTTTCATATGCCTTATAACTGCAGGGTTGATGTAGTTGATAATAAGATGTAGTATCTGATCTTTTGGCTCACTGAATTTCAACATAAATTTAATTAAGAGCTTCATCAGAACTCTTACAAAAAAGTTAGGGCATTGATTGGGAGTGAGACCCTGAAAGTTTACATGGGAATACATTTGGATAGATTTAGGACACCCTTACCCCCAGCCACGTTGAACCACTCTTGCTAACAGAAACAGCGCCTCCTCCCATTTGATAAGGCCGGCCATCTCCACCTTAGAGACACTGCAATGACTTCATGTGAGTAAATTACATTATAAGGGCATACCAATTCTCTGCCTGAATCACCCCCGTCCTCACTGCCTCTAGACCTAATAACTAGAGTAAGATCCCAGCACGCTCTAGGACAGGTGCAAAGTATAACCCAGGGGTAGAAGGCTTCCTTACAAAAAGAACTGCAAGATTTTGCTGATCTACATTGGAAGGAACAAGGGGTATATATATAGGATGGGATTCAAAGGATTCTTGATTGGGAAGGCTTAGTCCCAAATTTATCAACAGTACACTTGCTAGAAATTTGGAATTCAGTTTGCTGGTTCAGGCAGGTGGGAATGATTCTACATGTTTACTGGGTTGTTTTAAACCTGAACGCAGTAGTGGACCACACTAAAGGAGATTGATATGTCAGAAATTCCTTAGCCTAATGTGGAGAAAGGAATGCAAAGAGAGAGGGCTTTAGAGAATAACCCCTTCATCAAGACATTGAAAAATAAATTGTGAGGGGAACACCCATATCCTCGAAAAACACTGTAACTGGCTGTCCTCTTTTGGCTGGGGAAAAGTGGGAAGTACTGGAACTCAAAAGTTGTTATTGTTGTTTTTCCCCTGACTTCAACAGGGATGATGAAACCCAGAGAGGCAGAGGCCTGGTAGAAGCACTTATGCAACAAAGACAAATAGACATCAGGGGCATAGAGCTAATAAGAATGGATTGACCTGCGGGTCTCTTTGGTGGTGGCTCATTTTTACAGGCGTCCCCGTGACTGAAATTGCATAGCAGCCAGCTCCTTTGTCCAACCCACATCCACTTCATCTGTAGTCCCCCTCCCCGCAAATCTAGGTTTGGTGAATGAGGCCCTGCCTTGTGGAACCGTTATGGAGAATTAAGGCTCCTCAGCTAGTTCCCAGGATGCCCATCCTCACCAGCTCCAGGCCAGGTACCACACCAAGAAGGGCAGGGGCGTCAGAAAGCGCCCGCCTTTTAGAGCCAACGTTAAATTGGAAGGTCCCTAGCAAGGACAGTCTCCTCAGATGTACCTTACCCCTCGGACCTGGGCAGTGTTCTGGCTGGACACAGTCTGGCGTGAGGATCTGAGAGCGCAACCCTGCACTCTCAGGCAGGAGACTTCGTGGGCAGGGGCACGCAGAGCGCTGAGGCCGTCGCCGAGCCCGTGGCATCCCCGGGCAGCCCCTGCAGCCTCCTGGTCTGGCTTCTGCTCCTTCAGCGCTGGCTCAGGGAGGCCCCAGCGGGTGGGTCAGCGACGTCCTCGCCCACTTCACCCCTCTCGGGAGGCGGCCTCGAGGACCCCACGGCGGACCAGCCAAACCCTGGAGGGGGCTCAGGGAGCCCCTGGGAACCCCAGGTCCCCTGGGGCTCCGGGAGCCCCCAAGTTGGTGGAGTTTAGGTCAGGTGACTCTTCGCATTGGCCTTCCGGAGGGGCGGGCTGAGGCGTCAGGGTGGGGGCCGGTGTTCCCTGGGAGTTTGAAGGGATCGGGGTCTGAATTAGTGCAGCCCTACTGTGGAGCCTGAGGGAGACGTGCCTCGTCTGTGGGTCCATGGCCTGCAGACTTGGAAGCGCTGCCCTGGAGCCTAGGAGGACATGGCCTTCTCGGCTGTCCAAGGGGCTCCAGGGAGACAGGGCCTGTTTCTTTGAGGTTCTCCTTGCTACCTGTCCTCACCCCATCGTGTGGCCAAGTGTTCCTGAAAATCGTGGGAGGAAATCAGAGTGAAAGAAGGGAAGTGGCCCTGGCAGGTGAGCCTGAGGGTCAGTGGCAGACGTGTGCGGAGGTTCCCTCATCTCAGCTCAGTGGCTGCTGACTGCAGCCCACTGTATTTTAAGGTGAGTAATGACAAGTGGAGATGTGAGAGTTCTGGAGTCAGTCCTGCCCTCCTCAGATACCCACTAGTTTCTGCTGCCCTGCAAGTTGATAAAAACCCAACCCAAACCAAAGCACACACGATAAAAGTGGGAGGGATTCTGCGCTGGTAGTCTTGTTACTAGGAATACTAGTGTGGTGAACAAAACCAGTTGTTTGGGAGAGCAAACCAATTTTTTTTTTTTTACATCTTTATTGGAGTAGAATTGCTTTACAAGGGTGTGTTAGTTTCTGCTTTATAACAAAGTGAATCAGCTATACATATACATATGTTCCCATATGTCTTCCCTCTTGTGTCTCCCTCCCTCCCACCCTCCCCATCCCACCCCTCTAGTGAGCAAGCCAATTTTGAGAGTCATTAGGAGGGTTTTTTGGTGATAGGGTCGTAGCGAGAGTGGTGAGAGAGGTTGGGGCCCCATTGGGAAACAGCTGATATGTGTGGAAAGGCACAAGGGATGCTTCCCAGGGTCTCTGTGAGGGACATGTCCTCCTCCCACAGCTGTTACCGCTGCAGTGTCATGATGGGAGATCGGAGTGTCTGTGGTGAAATCTCAGGGTTGGTGGTTCCTATCAGCCGAGTCGTTGTTCACCCTCAGTTCTCAACACGTGGAACTGTTAAATATGACCTTGCTCTTCTCTGGCTCTTCTACCCTGTAAATTTCACTGGGGTCATCCAGCCTATATGCATCCCTGAGAAGCCTTTCCAGGTGGAAGCTGGGACCAGGTGCTGGGTGACTGGATGGGGCAAGCAGCAAGAATTCAGTGAGACTGTGGGGCAGGAAGTAACCTTGGGCAGAGGGAGGCAGCCTTATCCCTGGAGTAGGCGACAACACTAAAGGGAGGGGTAGGGAAGCACACCACCTGGCAGGTGGCTTAGGGGGCAGCCAGGCTAATGGTTCCCGGTTGGCTTGAGCCCAGAAATTGGTTGAGATCTTTTGTTGCCACACAAATATTTGATGGCAGCCGTTTAAGCAAGGCACCAGTCCTGGGACCTAGAGCTGCTCAGGAGAAGAAGAAGTACATGGGTGAAGTCTCCTGCAGATTTGTGGGGAACTGTGCCTGGTTGGTTTGGGGGCATTTTTAGGTTCCCGGGGGACAGAGCCAGATGCTCTGGAGTTCTCTTCAGGGTGGATTTCTGCTCAGGGGGTGATGAGCTGTCTGCCAGGCCGAGCTGTCCCTCGCTGGAGGTAGCTGCCTTGGTGCCCAGGGACTTTCCTGTCCTTGGGAATGTTGGCAGAGCCCGTGGGCCCCAGTTGGTGAGGCTATAGGGCCTCCTGTCTCTGGGAAGAGGCTGGATTGTTCCTTTGGGTACTACCTGTCTGAGAGTCTGTGATTCTGCTTTAAAGTAAAGACACTTTGCTGATGCACCGGACACCTTTCATTATTACTATTGATGCACAGAGTGACAGATGCGTGGTTATCATTTCTCAGGCTGGTAAGGCCTCGCCTCCTCCTGTCCTGATCTGTTCTTCCTTCTCTTGTCCTGGTTTTGGTTCCTACCTTCTCTTCTCCCCATGTCAGCTTTGGGCTTCAGTTTCCTCCGCTGTCAAATGGGGACAATATCCTCTGTGCTGCCTTCTTCAAGGGGGATTCAAGGTGTTTGGGGGCTTACTGTCCGCCTGTGCAGATCTACCCACTGCTGAGTTTCTTTGTTTGTAGGTGGCCCATTTGTCTCAGTCTTTCTCTGGGACATGGACCAATATATCATCTACTATGAAGAATGTAATGGGATGATCCAGAAGGCCATGCCAGCAGATAAGGATGTAGTACTGGAAGGAATGCTGTGTGGCTATAATAGTATAGGAAACGATTCTCGTCAGTTAAGTTCATGGGTCTCTTGCCACCTCCGCATTGAGGTTGTCCCGTCAAAGTTTCCTCATTCCCCAGTGGCAGGGCCTGGGTTATTTGCCACCTCCTCTTTCAGCCTTTAATTAAGGAGATTCAGGGGAGAACCCCTCAGGATGCCCCTGAGCTGGCCTGGCCTGTTCCTTCAATAGGGAGCAGCCCTCGCATCCTGGGCGGGCTGCCAGGGTGTGGTGAAGTTGGGGGTGATGATGATAATAATGTAAGTTCCTATAATTGAGTTCCTTCTATGGCAACTTACTGTGCCAGTGTGAGCATTCACCCACATTAGCTCAGTTACCCAGCTCACAACCCTGCAGCATAATTATACATATTATTATACAGATGTGGTCCCTACAAGACATAAGTTCAAGGTCCCCCTGGGAGTGCCTGGGCCCACAGTCTTCCCTTTGCGCCAAGTAGCCTTTCTGAGCAGGGGGCATCTGAGCCAGGTCTTAGAGGATGAGTATTTGAGTCCTGGAAAGAGGAGAACATCACTGTTGGGAGAGGGAACAGCAAGTACAGAGGCTCAGAGTTCTGAAGAACGTGTCATGTTTAGGGAATGTGTTTCAGGTCTGGAGCAATGAGGTGGCAAATATGGCCAGAGGGGCTTCCCTGGTGGCACAGTGGTTGAGAGTCCGCCTGCTGATGCAGGGGACACGGGTTCGTGCCCTGGTCCAGGAAGATCCCACATGCCGCAGAGCGGCTGGGCCCATGAGCCATGGCCGCTGAGCCTGGGCGTCCAGAGCCTGTGCTCCGCAACGGGAGAGGCCACAATGGTGAGAGGCCCGCGTACCACACACACACACACAATACATATATATATATATGGCCAGAGAAGGTGATTGGAATCAGAATATGTGTGGCCTGCAATGCTGTGCTATGTTTCGCGTTCCTGTCCATGCAGGACTGTAGGCCAGGAGTTTGTTTTCACCATGTAGGCAATGGTGTTGAGCCCCAGGCAGGACCTGGGCTGGTGGGGAGGTGAAGGGGTTGTGTTTGAGGTTGAGTCATCAGTTCTTGGTGACCGACTGCCTGTGAGGGTGCGGGTGAGGGAGAGCTTGAGGAGGACTCTGAGTTTCTGACTGAGCTGGTAGATGGGGGGCCACCAGAACAGTTTTGGGAAAGGATGTGCAGCGTGTGTGAGGTGGGGTTTAGCATGACTGGTTGTGTTTGGAGAGAGGGGGAACTGGTGAGAGGATGCTATTGGCTATGTGGGTTTAGGGGCAGGGAGAGATTTCAGGGTAGATGTGATGATTTTGAGTCCCCATGCAGAAATGATACTCAAAGTATTTTACCGCTGTGGAGGCCTAGGACTGACTAGTTGGAATTGACTCTGACCTTAGAGTTGGAGAGGGGCTCTGGAAGCTGCACACAGTGCCAGGGGATGCCCCTTTAGTTGCTGGCTGTTGGGAGGTTTGGAGAGGGTCATGGGGAAGGGGTCAGGCAGTGAAGGATTAGGGTCACTGAAAGAGAATTTGAGTATATCCTGGCAGGACTGATGTACAGGGCTTACTGGCTTTATAGCTCCTGTGGTCCCTGAGCACCTGGGAAGGAGTAGTATTTCTCAGATGATGTTAAAGTTTCCAACTCTCAAATCTCATTCACAGAAACCTGGGCCTGGTGGGTACCTGGGAAAGGACCTAGGTGCCTATCTCCCTAGTGCCTTGCTAGCAATCAGCCTGCTCTGATGATGATCCCCTTCCATTCCTGTGTTTGTTTCTTCTTTTTCTCCAGGGAGATTCTGGAGGTCCCCTGGTCTGTCAGTTTACTGACTCATGGGTTCAGGTGGGGATTGTGAGCTGGGGTGTTCACTGTGGTCACATAGAATTGCCTGCAGTTTATATAGAAGTTAATTACTACAAAGACTGGGTCATTGATCACATCATTAAGGTGTCCTCTTGTGGCTCAGCAGGGTTCTTTATCCTAACGCTGTGTCTGGTGCTGCCTCTGGGCATCCTGGCGACCCCGTGATCACCCTGGCCCACACTCCCTCCTGTTTCTGAGTCTCACACTAGCCCTGCCTCTGACCTTCCACTCCTACTCAATGCACTTTCCTCAAACCTGTTTGGGATTCACTGACCCTGTGGAGATCCACATGACAGAGAGTGGCAGCAAGAAAGGAACCCTGGGAGTTTTCCAGTCTGGTGCTCAAGGAACCGGACTCATCCACACCTACACCATGACTGTGCTCTACATGCTGGAAACAAGTGGGTGAAACCATCCCAGCTGGATGGCCAGTGACTTGCCAGGTGATGCTTCATGATGCTTCAGCCACATCTTGGAGAACATCTAGCAAAGAAGGGACATCATCACTGGTGAAACAGCGTTAGACCTGACACTTTATCAAACCAGTCCACTTGGTGATTGTTGGGAGAGAGTGAGGAGGCATCACCATGTCCACATCTGACTCAGCTGTCTGGGTTGGGAGAAGGTCCCCTGCTGCCCAGTGCGGATGCATCTGTGAATGTCCAGCGTCTGCCACACAAGCCCTGCTGGGGCAACTCAGTCTAGGAACCCCCTTCCCAGTGCTCCAGTGGCCACATTCAGGCTCACCCCAAGTTGTGTTGAGGCAGTTATGGAGTATGGAGATTTCTGATGTCAACTGAATAAATGTTTGGTTTGTTCTTTTGTGTTCTTATGGTCTGCTCTCCTTGGGACCGTGGGGTTGCATATAACATGCTCTGTAGAAAGCAATTTTCTCATTTGGCTTAGAAACTATTCATGGTTCTTATTAAGCCCTAGAGGGAGAGGTGAGTCTAAACCTGCTCATTTGTGAGTCTAAGGATGGTTTTAGCCAGCTGGGTCCTGCTCCCTGTACTCCTGTTATAGTCATCAGCATGTCTGCGGGGAGATTTGTAGCCTAATTTCGTAGCCTTTATAGCTCAGAGTAGAGAATCAAGATAGACTGGAACTAGGAGTAAGTAAAATTAGGGCATGAGCAATATTATTCCTCCTCCCCTGCTTCTACTTGCTGCTCACCTCCACTCTTACCAAAGATTGCATTTCCACAGGGAGAAGTATAAGAGAGATTCCCTATATTAGGTACTGGCTCTTTACCATTTTTCCAGGACAGAGTATCCCAGAGTCTCTGTGTCTTGCTGGTGATTTATTCCCTCTCAATCTCCTGTCACCTGCTCTTCCAGGGGTCAGCATTTCAGCTCCCAGATATCCATGGGCTTCAGAGTGCAGTCTGTCTCATGTGTTGCCCGAGGAAGCCTGGGGTTGAGAGACTGGGAACTTACATGAAATACAGTCTATTAATAAGTATCGAGCCAGCTGCTTTAAGAAGCCACCGAAAATCAAAACAGTGTGGTAGGGGCACAAAAACAGACATATGGATCAATGGAACAGTATAGAGAGCCCAGAAACAAACCCACACATGTATGTTCAATTATTCTTCGACAAAAGAGGCAAGAATATACAATGGGAAAGAGACAGTCTCTTCAGCAAGTGGTGTTGGGAAAGTTGGACAGCCGCATGTAAATCAATGAAGTTAGAACACACCCTCACACTATACACAAAAATAAATGCAAAATGGCTTAAAGGGGACTTCCCTGGTAGTCCAGTGTAAAGAATCCGCCTTCCAATGCAGGAGATGTGGGTTCGATCCCTGGTCAGGGAACTAAGATCCCACATGCAGTGGGGCAACTAAGCCCTTGCGCCACAACTACCGAGCTTGCGTGCTTCAACTAGAGAGCCTGTGTGCCACAAACTACAGAGAGCCCATGCACTCTGGAACCCACACACCACAACTACAGAGCCCACATTCCTTGGAGCCTGTGTGCCACAACTAGAGAGAAGCCTACGTGCTGCTGTGAAAGATCCCACATACCTCAACAAAGATCCCATGTACCACAACTAAGACCTGACGAGGCCAAAAATAAATAAATTAAATAATAAGTCTTTAAAAATATGGCTTAAAGACTTAAATATAAGACATAACACCATAAAACTCCTAGAAGAGAAAATAGGCAAAACTTTCTGACATAAATCATACCAACTTTTACTTAGGTCAGTCTCCCAAGGCAATAGAAATAAAAACAAAAATAAACAAATGGGACCTAATCAAATTTACAAGCTTTTGTACAGCAAAGGAAACCATAAACAAAGGAAAAGAGGACCTAGTGACTGGGAGAATATATTTGGAAATGATGCGACTGACAAGGGCTTAATTACAAAAATATAAAAACAGCTCATACAACTCAACAGCAAAAAAACGAACAACCCAATCGAAAAACAGGCAGAAGACCTAAATAGACATTTCTCCAAAGAAGACATACAGATGGCCAACAGGCACATGAGAAGATGCTCAACATCACTAATTAGTATAGAAGTGCAAATCAGAACTACAATGAGGTATCACCTCACACCAGCCAGAATGGCGATCATCAAAAAATCTACAAATAACAAATGCTGGAGAGGGTGTAGAGAAAAGGGAACCCTCCTACACTGTTGGTGGGAATGTAAATTGGTGCAGCCACTATGGAAAACAGTATGGAGATTCCTCAAAAAGCTAAAAATAGAGTTACCATATCATTCAGCACTCCCACTTCTGGACATATATCTGGACAAAACTATAATTCAAAAAGATACATGCGGACTTCCCTGGTGGCACAGTGGTTAAGAATCCGCCTGCCATTGCAGGGGACATGGGTTCGATCCCTGGTCCGGAAAGATCCCACATGAAATGGAGCAACTAAACCCGTGCGCCGCAACTACTGAGCCTGTGCTCTAGAGCCCATGAGCCACAACTACTGAGCCCACGTACCACAACTACTGAAGCCCGTGCGCCTAGAGCCTGTGCTCTGCAACAAGACAAACCACCACAATGAGAAGCCCGTGCACCGCAACGAAGAGTAGCCTCCGCTCGCTGCAACTAGAGAAAGCCTGCGTGCAGCAATGAAGACCCAATGCAGCCAAAAAAAAAAAAGATACACGCACCCCCTATGTTACGAGCAGCACTATTCACAATAGCCAAGACATGGAAACAACCTAAATATCCATTGACAGATGAATGGATAAAGATGTGGTACATATATATAAAGGAATACCATTCAGCCATAAAAAAGAATGGAACAATGCCATTTGCAGCAACATGGATGGACCTAGAGGTTATCATACTAAGTGAAGTAAGTCAGAAAGAGAAAGACAAATACCATATGATATCAGTTATATGTGGAATCTAAAATATGACACAAATGAACTTATCTACGAAACAGAAACAGGCTCACAGACATAGAGAACAGACTTGTGGTTGCCCAGGTGGGGAGGGGGAAGGATGGATTGGGAGTTTGGGATTAGCAGATGCCAACTATTATATATAGAATGGATAAACAATAAGGTCCTACTGTATAGCACAGGGAACTATATTCAATATACTGTGATAAAACATAATGGAAAAGAATGTGAAAAAGAATATCTATACCTATATAACTGAATCACTTTGCTGTACTGTAGAAACTAGCACAACATTGTAAATCGACTATACTTCAATAAAATAAATTTTTAAAAAAGAAGCCACTGAGTATTTATGGGTTAAAAATAAATTTAACTTCTTGTTCCTGTATCATCCCTATCAGGTGTTCTTGATCAGCAGGTGGCTTTTCTCCATCTTATAGCTCCACTCAACCCTGTGGTTCATGCTTCCCTACCTCAGAATTCCCTGGAGGGCTTTTTAAACTACAGATCACTGATTCTACTCCCAGAGTTTTCAATCCTATAAGTCTGGGGTGGGTCCTGAGAATGTACAACTCTAACAAGTTCCCAGGTGATGCTGGTGCTGCTCTGCAGACCACACTTGGAGAACCATTGCTCTGCATTAACACAAGTAGAGAAGTGAACCTCCTCTCTACTGCCTTGGCATGGAAGTGGCATCTGTAACCTCTCCTCACCTCCTATTGGTGCAACTCATCATCTGGACCACTTTAGATGCTAGGGTGGGGAATGTGGTCCCCAGATCTGGATCCCTCACACTGGACAGGAGCAGCAGGAATCTTGGTTGTCAGCTCCGAATCTTGGACACACTGAGCAGATCCAAAGACCACATTCTTCTACAAAAACCCTGTGAAAGCCCAAGAAATGGTGGTTTTTGCCACTATTTCTTTCAGTTTCCACCATCCCACTGACGGTTCGTGGAAGAAGATAAATGCCTTTCCTTTGAGTTCTCCCCCAAGACTCTTTGTTCATCTTAGGTCCAGCTTAAATGTCACTTTTGTAAAGACATCCTCCCTGATTCCCTAGCCTTACTGTTCTTTCCTTGTGCTTTCTACACCTTTTCAGATTCTCAAATCAATGTAAATTATGAAGCTCTCCCGTGCACGAAGCCCAGGGAAACAAGGTTATGATCAGAGGCTGGGCGACAAGGTGCCAACACTAGTCCAGGGATTTGGATGTGCCTTCACCGGCCAGGTTTTGGGGGACAGTCACCCACTTAAGGCACTTGGGGGTACTTCCATGGGACTGGCCACCACAGAGGCAATGACAAGCCCCGGGCTCTGCAGTCATCTTCAAGGAACCCGCACGAGGTGGGGTAAGTGCAGAGGAACGTTCAGCGTTCCAGGGGCACCGTCACAGGTCCGCGACGTCATCACGTGCCGGAGGGGCTGTCACGTGCCGGAACTCCGTCACGTGCGTCACGTGCGGGAGACGTAGTCGCGGCGTCCGGGGCTACTGCGAGCCGTCCCTGCTGCCGCTAGCGGACGCCTCAGGGGCCTCATGGCCGCATCGTTGACCTGCCTCAGCGCTGGGCCTGCAGCCTCAAGGCCCTCGGGCTGGAGCTGCCACCTCCTGGTGCTGATACTGCTGAACTCCGGTGAGGCGGCGCCTGCTCTGCGCCGCTCCCGTTCTGGGTCCTTCTTCCCCGCCCCCCCCCCCCCCCCCCCCGCCAAAACCCACACTCGAGGCCGGGACAGGCCTCGCGGCGCCCACCCACAGCCCCTTCTCCTCTGCTACCCCTCCGGGCATCTCCCAGGGCGGTTCCGGGGATCCCAGACTCCCGCGCTCTCAGCTTCCGCCCTGAGACCCGCCAGCCCTGTAGCTTCCTGGGGCCTTGTGGTGCGAGGGGCATCCCAGCGTTTCCTCCTGGAGGCGTGGATGTCGCGGCTGAGACCCGAACCACCCTCTTGACGGCATCCTCAGGGCTCATCTTCCCACGCAGCAGGGCAGTGCTGGAGACCCCGCTCCGGGTAGGCGGTCCGGGCCAAACTCTTGGTCTCCAAACACTTAGACGAATGTTCCTCACCTCACTTGCTTCCCAGACCCTCAGCTCCTACCGAGGGTGCCTCTCTAGCAGCGGCTTCCTTCCCTCAGGAAACGCATGCCCTCAGGCGCTGTCCCCTTGACTCCCTCAGCCCGGGGACCCCTCCAAACCTGACAACTCAGTGCCACCCGCTCCCCTTTCCTTAGGAATCAGAGACAGACCTCCTGTTCAAGGTCAGGCTGCTCACCCCTGCTCTGGACTCTGGGCCCTTCCTGTGCTCTCATCGATCTCTATCCTCTCCCTTTCTATTTGCTGTGTTTCTTCACCCTATCTCTTCCCCTCGCTGCCACATTTCTCAAAATAAGTTTTCACTTCATGTTTCCTTCAGGTGCTTCCTCACTTTTCACTTAACCCTTAGCCCATTCCTGGCATGCCTCTGTCCTAACATCCCTAACCTTTCTGCTCCTCCCTCTTTTTTCATTTTCTCTAGTCCCTTGGCTTCTCTCAGGCCATGCCTCCTAATTCTCCTCTACCTCAGGGTGACTCCCTTGCCCTTCTGTGTCCCTCCCAGGCCACCCATGCTCTGTTCATCCCTGACGTATTGGTGTTCCCTAAGATGCTGTCTGGGTGCCTTCTTCACTGCTCCCTGGGTGAGCTCACTTGCTCTGGGCATTGAGCTGCCATGTATGTGATGCTGCCTCGCAAAACAATGTGCATGGATGTGCAGCCACCTACTGGACATCTGTACCTGGATGACCTAGAGCCATCTCAACTCCTTGGGTTCCAAAGTTGAGGCCCTCTTCTTCCTATAAACTGGGTTCTCTTACTCAGTGGATAGTAGTCACTCTTCTCTAAAATCAGAAACTGGGGGGTCATCCTAGATTCAGCCTTCTCCCTCAGTCCCACATCCAGCTCACCAAGTGTGTTCTCACTGCCACTTCTTCATTCAGCCCTCATTTCTTGCCTGGGTTCTGCAGAGCCTATGGTGGGATCTTACTGCGTTCAGTCTTGTTACCTTCCTACCTATTCTCCATACTGCCTTCACAATACAAGTCTGACCATGTCACACCTCCATTGGCCTCCCTCCTCCCAGAGTGTCTCACTCAGGCTTCTTGGCCTGGCTTATGAAGGCACTCGTGATGACCCCTGACTTTCTTCCCCGGGCATCATTTCTTGTCATCGTGGGCCTTGCCCTTTATCCTCTGGAGTCTCCACCTTATGGTGTTTCTTTCATAAAGAATGTCATCACTTTTCATTGCTGTTTTACCTTCTCATCCTTAAGATCTGGCACAATAACCCCTCTTCCTAGAAGCCTCCCTGTCCACCACTTCTTCTGGGCTTACCTGACACCTGTGGCCTTGTCCCCACATTGATCGCACATGGGTGATTGTGTGTTTACTTATATCTCCTCTGCTGGGCAACCTGCTCTTCAAGGGCAAATACAGGATATATCTGTCTGATACACCTCTGTACACCCCTGCGCCCTGCCCCCAGCCCCCTGGCCTTGGGCTCCAGGCTGGGAACAGAGTGGGAGGTGGGGAAATATTTGGTGAATGAATGAATGAACTAATTAATGAGGAATGCACCTCTTCACTGTCATCCTGTTACAACCTCTTACTTCATCTCTGTCCCCCTTTCTCCTCCAGGTTACAAAGGAGAGAACACCAAACCAGGTGGGTGAGGTGAGCCCCTGCTTCAAGAAAACCTTGGATCCTGGGAGGGTATGTTCTGAAGAGGGTCACAGAGATAATGTTTCTGGGTCTATAGGAAGCAGAAATTCAGTCTAAGTGGCCTGCCTTCTAAAGAACAGCCTGTGCTGTTCAGGACGTACAGACTCAACAGTGCACATTAAAAGAGTATTTGGGCCTCCTGTGGGAATGCAGAACCTCTTAAAGTTGAACCCAGGCTGCATCCCATCAGGGAACATGTCCAGGAGGCTGATGCAGATCCTTTTCCACATAGAAACATTTTGAGCTCTAAACTGTTCATTTGCAAATGGAGCCTCTTGGGTCCTGTGGCAGTGTCTTCTGGGGTCTTCCTGTCATTTTCCTTAGACCTCAGGGGTGGAGGGTTGGGTTGCTCCTGCTTGTTCGCGGGCTTCCTTTGTCACAGGTGCACCCTAATTTGTTATGGATTGTTTGGTTAAGTTAGCTATTTCTGCTTGTGTCCATGCCCCACCCCTATTCCCCCTCTTCACCCTTCTCCCAGCCTTTCTTGTGTATTTGATGTGTATCTTTCTGTTTGTGTGTGTTTTTGTAAAAATACATATTGTGGTTTTGTGTGCATGTATTTCTAACTTATGCAAATAGCATGTTCTCTAGATCTCTTCTGTTTCCTCCTCTTTTCATTCAGTCCCATTTAAAAAAACATTTTATTTGGAAATAATTTTAAACTTACAAAAAAGACTGCAAAAATAGTACAAGGAACATGCACACACACAAAATTTTTTTCAGAATCAGTTGAGGGTAACATACAGCATGGCTCTTTAAATACTCTGGTGTGTGTTTTCTAAGAATATTCTCTTAGATAACCACAGTACAAGTTATCAGTTTCAAAAATTTACATTGATAGCATATTTTAATCTATTGCCCATATTGCAGTTGAGTCAGCCCTCTGCATTCCTACCAGCAGTTTGTGAAGGTGTATATATTGCTACAGACCTCCCACCCCTTGGCATGATCCAGCTTTTACATTTTTTGCCTATCTAATAGACAAAAAAATGACTTCTTAGTTTTTTGGGTTTTTTTCCCACTTGAGGATTTTGTTTATTGCTTTCATAATTATTAAACATGCTAAAATCACATAGAGTGGCTGTTCCACTTCTGCTCTGACTCCACAGTGGGGCAGCTGAGAGCTACAAGGGTCACTTGGTTTTTGTGGCCTCTGAGGGTGGCTAGGCATGAGGGGTTAGAGGTAGGCAGGTTAACAAAGCCCCAAGAATCCTTCATATAGTACACCTTTACCAGCAGTAACTTGTGTCCTTAGAGATCTCCTCCTCCTTCACTTTTCTTTTCTTCCCAAATCAACTGGCGATTTCCTTCCCAAATCTTCCCATTTCCCTGCCTGTGGCCCCTTGAACCTCTTCCACTTCTGCCTCTTACGGTTCTAGACTAGACGATGAAGGAAACTTTTCCTCGTCTCTACCAGTCACAGTCGGCCTTCCTTGGAACTAATCTACTGAGCATGCACTAACATGGGAGCAGTTTGATTTAGGTCTGCCCAGGGGAAAGGGAGGCTCCAGTCCCCACTGTGGCTTAGCTCATAGGAGGGAAGTTGAGGTCCTGATGAGAAGGATGTGAAGGTAAAAAATGCTACCTGAAGTGTGAATGTTGTAACCAGTGGAACAGGGCATATGCCCCACCCTCGGGCACCCTACTCTGAAGGCTTTTCCTCATTCCCACATTGTTAGGGGTCCCTCTCTCAACCTCACATCCTCTTGCTCTTCAACCTCATAGGGCAGGCACAGGTACTGATCAAGGAGCTGTATCCCAAGGAGAAAATGTTTCACCCTTAAGCAAGTGGCTGCCTGTTGAATTCTTCATCTTCCCTGTGTTCCTTGTGCCTCTGCAGCTGTGATGGCGTGAGGGGCCAGAGAAAATAATGTATAAGTGTTGAACTTGCCTCAATGAGAAGCTTGAGGGACAAAGAGACAAAGATACATGGGAGTCAGAGCTGTGGAGAAGGGGAAGGAAGGGAGCAAGGTGAAGGGTAAGGCTGGTTATTCAGGAACTGGGATCCTTTTTCTTTTTCTGGAATCGCTGGAACTTGCCCTGAATAGCAAGGGCAGCCTTCTCTGTTTCTGGTGCTGTCAGATCAATGTCAATCTCCTCCTCCTCCTCAGCCTTCTCGGCATTGCCAGCTCTCCCCTTTTCCTCTGGGCCAGCTGCCTGGTTGGTTGCTGGGGATGTTTTGGTGTTAAGCTCCTTCCAGGGCATTTATCAGCATTCAGATGATGTGTTGTCCTTCCACTTGAGCTTTAGATCCCATTCCCCTTTTCTCCTCCTCAGGAATCTTCACAATCAATTCTCTTGACTTGCTTATAAATAAAACGTCTTCCTTTTTCACTCAGTATGATAATCTCCAGGTCCATCCATGTTGCTGCAAATGGCATTATTTCATTCTTTTTAATGGCTGAGTAATATTCCATTGTATATATGTACCACATCTTTATCCATTCATCTGTCGATGGACATTTAGGTTGCTTCCATGACTTGGCTATTGTAAACAGCGCTGGTTTCAGGACTTAATGAAGCTCAGGTTCTTGATGTCTCATTGCAGAAAGAATTCAGTGAGAGACAAAGTGATAGGTAAGAAGTGGATTTATTTAGAGAGAAACACACTCCCCAGACAGAGTGTGGGCCATCTCAGAAGGTGAGAAAAGGCCGACTTCTTAGTTTAACTGACATTTTTCTCATTACTAATGAGTTTGAGCATGTCTCAATGTGCTGTTGGCTTCTTGAGTTTCCTCTTCTAATAAATTGACTGTCTTTATCCTTTGCATATTGTCTATTCTTTTTTCTTGTTGATTTCCTGGAGTTCCTTGTATATTCCTAATAAAAGTCTTGTATTGATTTTAGATATTGCAAATATTACCTCCTAATCTGTCATCTGACGGTTAACTTTGTTCCTGGCGTCAAAAATCCTTGATTTTGATGTAATCAAGTTAATCAGTTTAATGCTTCATGGATTGTGGTTTGAGGTTTTGTTTAAAGAGTCCTTTCCCACCCCATGCCACATGGTTGGCTGTTAACTTTATGGTTTTATCTTTCACGTTTAGGTCTTCAAGTACTACTAGAGAGGAATCCAGTTTTGTTTTTCTTATTTCTTTTATAGTGAGCGAGTTTTCCCAGCACCATCTACTCAACAATCCATCCTTTACTCACTGATTGTGGTGGCTCCTTTATTTACATTAAGTTCCTGTATTCTCTGAAACAATCTCAAGCTCTCTATTCCTTTTTTTTTTGGTCCACTTGTCTGTCCTTGTCAATACCACACTGTTTTTGTCACTATGGCTTTGATGTGTGCCTTAATATCTGCTAGGACAAGTGTCCCTTCTTTGCTTTGTCAAAGATGGAACTATTTATGGACCTTTGTTTTTCTATTTCAATTTTAGAGTAAGTTTATCAAATTTCTTAAAAATTCTAACTGGGTAAGTGACTTTATAGATTAATTTTAGGAAGAATTACACCTGAAATATTTAGTTATTCTATTTAAAAGCAATAGATCTTTCTCCATTTATGCCAGTCATTTTCAGTGTCCTTCATTAGAGTTTAAAATGTATTACTGCAAAAATCTTGCTTAGTGTTGGATACTTTAATTCCAGGGTATTTTATAATTTTTAGCTATAAACTGTATCTTATTTTGAATATAGTTGTGCTATACTCAGGTTGGTTGGCATAGAGAAATATTATTGATTTCAAAAGTCAGTTACTGAAGTATTATATACATACACAAAAAAAGTGCACAAATTATGTGTCCAGCTCAAGAAATTATCACACAGTGAACGCACCTGTGCAGTCTCCACCAAGGTCAGAAAGTAGAGCAGTACCAGCACCCAGAAGCTCTCTTATGTACTCCCAGTTACTTCCTTTGTCCTCCTCCCACAAAGTATCATTATTCCTGGCTTCAGAAAGTATAAATTTTTGGCCTGTTTCTTAATGTTATATGATGTTTGCTGTAGGTTTGTGGCATATAACTTGTATAAATAAGTATTTTATTTCTGTTCCCAGTTTGCTAAGAGTGTTTTGTTTTTTAGTTGTAAATCTGTGTTGATTTTTTCAAATACCTTTTTCTGTGTCTATTGAGAAAAGCACAGTTCTTTTAGAGAAAAATAACTGTTTATGTGGGGAATACACAGAGACCGCTTCCATTGTGGGACCACCCTTGTACCCCAGGACAATCTCTACATGATCATGGTGCATAATTTAAAAAAATATAATATTGGCTAATATTTTATTTACAATTTCTGCATCTGTGTTCATATTCATGCAGTCATACAACTTGATTGTTGGAACTACTTGCAAACTGATAGTGTGTCAGCTGTTACACAGAGTGGGAGGCCTCTGTTGGCTCCATGCTGGGACTTTTTCTTGAATGGTCTGTGTAAAGACTTCTGACCTAGAAGTCTGGAGCTTTTCTTGACTCTGAGTAGTGTGGGGACAGAGGCCTTTTGCATCTAAGAGATGCAGAAAGCTTTATAGCCTTTCAGGAACGTGGCCTAGGGACTTACCCTGACACAAGAAAATACATTTCCTGTCCTGGGGCTCCTTCTATGCTTCTGCCTTGTTTTGAGGTTCTGTGCTGCTTGCTCCCTGTGTGTCTCAGTATCTCTCTCCTCCTCCTGTCATATCTCTGTGTTTCTGTCTTGATGCTTTTTATCTCTGTCATTGTCACTTTCTGTCAGCTCAGTGCCTTTGGGCAGGCCACTGCTCTTCTTTCACCTTCGGTCTCCCCTTCTTTGAAATGGAAGCAAGCCCCCGAGTTTACAGCCTCATGCAAATTACCCTGGAGGGCATCTTGGTCACAGTCATTCTTATCCTCCTCTATGCGGCCACTGTATCTCCCTGTCACGCTTGTTCCTGAAGCTTGTGGCAAACCCTGGTGGCCGAAGAATTTGGACGTGACCCGCCATTGGCCCTGGGAGGTGAGCCTCCGAGTGGAAAATGAGCATGTGTGTGGAGGAGCCCTCATTGATCTCGACTGGGTAGTGACTGCTGCCCACTGCATCCAAGGGTGAGTGTGGCCCACGGAGACCCAGGGCTGCAGCGGGCCCAGCCTAGACTCCTCATTTCCTCTATGAAACAACGTGGCAGTGGGGGACGTGGGGCGGAGTGGGAAGGGATGTCCAGAACAGGGAAGAGTCATGCTCATTATCTCACAGAGGCCGGGGACTGAGCTTGGGCAGGAGCCCCAAGCAACAAAGACTATATCCTGACCAGGGCAACAGCATGCACCCCGTATACACCCCACCCCTCACACACATTAGAACACGCGTGCATGCTAATAGCTGCACACTCAAATCCACAGCACATAGACCAGGCCACTTGAATCAGCTTGACTGATGAATGAGGAGGCAGTCATATCTCTGACTCCGAGGGCCCCCTGGGTAGATGAGCAAGGTGGAGTGAGCAGGGCAAATCAGGCAGGACTTCTGCTAAGGGGAGCGTCCTTGGCGGAGGTAGGAGCATAGTGTTGCTTGAGAACCTGACATCTACCAGGTGGGGCTCTGTGTCTCCTGTAGCACAAAAGAGTATTCAGTGATTCTCGGCACCTTCAAGCTGAAGCCCACGGACTCCACGAGGGCCCTCTTGATCCCTGTGAGGGACATCATTACGCACCCCAAGTACTGGGGCCAGAACTTCATCGCGGGTGATGTTGCCCTCCTCCAGCTTCACACTCCTGTCGTCGTCAGCAAGTACGTGCAGCCCATCTGCCTCCCGGAGCCCAACTACAACCTGAAGGTTGGGACGCAGTGCTGGGTGACTGGCTGGGGCCAGGTTAAACAGCGCTTCTCAGGTGAGGAGGATGGGGTCGGGGTGACATGTGGTACCCCAGAGGGTACACTCCTTTCCTCTGGGGCCTCTCCTGATGAGCCCCCTCATGGTGCCTCTCAGGAAGCTTGTGGCTGTTACCTCTGGCCCCTGGTTCTTTGGATGTGTTAGGATTTCTCCTCACGTGGGAGCTGTTGCCATGGTTTACGCCATTGCATGTGCTATGGGCACCTCATTTAGTCCTAGGAAAACCTGATCATTTGCCTCTTACAGAAGCTCAGAGTCAGGAATTCATAAATTCACTCACTCACTGATTTGTTCATCTGAGAAACTTCGATGTTCAGGCATCTGCCACACGCCAAACCCTTGTCACTGGTAATGCATGCCCTGCCTCTAGGGAACTCATAACTGAGTATGGGTGGAAGCACAGATTAACAAGGAAAGAGGCAAAGACTTTGTCAGGTGATCTTGAGAGCAAGTCGGGAGGGATCTGGAATGAGCTCTGGCAGAGAGTCTGCCTGAGATGCCTGAAGGAAGAGTGAATGTCAATCAGGTGGCAGAGGGCACAGCCAGTATAGAGTTCAGAGGCTGGAGAGAAGCAGCATGGGGGTGGGCTCTCAATTTCTGAGTGGTTGCATTGAAACTTGGCTTGTAGCCTGCTTGGTTCAGGAGCAAAAGATTCCCAGAGAAAGGGATCCTGAAATAGAGCCTTAGAGGGCAAGGTGCTTGCCCAACATGGTCCACACCACAGGGGGAAGGGCCAAGTGAAGAAGGGCATGGAGGTGTGAAGGGGTGTGGCTGAGTCCTGAGGATGGAGGTGACAAGACCCTGGGAATAGGCAGGGCTGAGTAGAGTGAGGAGTCAGTTCTCACCCCACTGGACTCCTCCACAGCCAACTCCACACTGACCCCAGCGTTGCGGGAGGCCGAGGTGTTTATCGTGGACAACAAGATTTGTGACCGGATTTACCGCAAGAAGTCCCTCATCCCCCGCGTTGTCCTGGGGGACATGATCTGTGCCACCAATTATGGAGAAAACTTGTGCTATGTGAGTTTCTGGGAGGTTCTGGCAGCTCTCCTTCGGTTGGGATGACCCCAGGTGGGGGGCATTTCCCCAGGGGGAGGTTTGCTTGGCCTCCCTCTTTGTCATCATCATCAGGTAGTGCTCTGCTCCCATCTGCCTTCCCCGTGACTTTGATTTTGCCTGATATTCTGGGATGGGATCCCCAACTGAGGAGTGAAGGAGGACTCCAGGTAGTGAGATCCTCAAGGAATGAAAGAAGCTTCCAAGCAGAACTCAGAGGGTGGGCATTCTGGGTCCCCCAATCCCTTGGGTCCCAGCTGGGTCCAGAGCCTCCATCACTCCTCTCTCTTTGCCTAGCGGGGACCCTGGGGGTCCGTTGGCTTGTGAAGTCGAGGATAGATGGATTCTTGCTGGGGTGTTTTCCTGGGAAAAGGCCTGAGCCCAAGTACATAATCCAGGAGTGTACACCCGTATCACCAAATACAGCAAATGGATCAAGAAGCAAATAAGCAATGGGGTTCTCTCAGTCCTCTGCACCTCCTCCTGGCTCCTACTTCTGTCCTGGCTGCTGCAGCCCCAGATGGGCCCCTGATCTCCCTTCTCCTTTCTTCTCTGTGCTTTGCCTTTGCCAAATGGGGCCAGATCAAGGTTAGATCAAGGTCATGGGTCTGTAATCAACAAAGATCAAGGTGGGAAAAGAGTGGCCCCTGGGAGACTGGGTCCTGCTTTGACCTCCTAGTGGGGAGGATGTGGTGGATGACTAGGCTTTGAGTGACCAGGAGAAGGAAATTGTGGCCTAGAAGGGCTTTGGAATTGGGGACCAGGATAGCAGGGATTATATCTGTGCAAACATGAGCTGGCTCTGTTCTCTTTTCTGGGTGGCCCCCAGGTGTTGGGGGTTGGTGCGTGGGTAAGGCCTCCTGGAATTAATTCTGCCAGCAGGCTCTTCAGAGTGGGGACTGATGGTTTTTGCTATATCACTTGTGCTGGGGCTTTGGGAAAGGGCCTGGGCCTGAGGCATCAGTTTCCTCAACTGGAAATTGGGCATGCTGTAAGAGAGCAGTTGAGACATGCACTGTAGGTGACAGTAGGAAGGACCCACATATCGTGCTCCAAAATCAGCTTTCTTTTTTTTTTAAAAATGGCATTAAAAAAAAAAAAAACTGATTATAAAAGTTCCCCTCCTACATTTTTTTTTTTTTTTTTTTTTTTTGCGGTACATGGGCCTCTCACTGTTGTGGCCTCTCCCGTCGCGGAGCACAGGCTCCGGACGCACAGGCTCAGTGGCCATGGCTCACGGGCCCAGCCGCTCCGTGGCATATGGGATCTTCCCGGACCGGGGCACGAACCCGTGTCCCCTGCATCGGCAGGCGGACTCTCAACCACTGCACCACCAGGGAAGCCCCCCCCCTACATTTTTTAAAAATTAAAAACAATTAAAAGCGATGTCTGAATTTTTGTTGTGATTTACCAAAAAAATTCAGAAATACATGTAAAGATTCTCCCTTGCTCATTCACCCCCACCACCAATGCTGCTCCCCTCCCCAGAAGTAATCATTGTTGGCATCCTTAAATAAAATAGCTTTATGGTTTTTTAAATAAATAGAATCTTATATATGTATTATTAATAACCTACATTAAAAAAAACTATATGCCTTGAAAACCTATGTCAGTACCTAGAGCTATTCATAATTTTACATTATTGCATGTGTACCGTGTGGATGTAATGTATGTTATTTAACCAGCACCAGGTTTTAGGCTGTTTCTGACTTGTCAGCATTGTGACAGTGCTGCCATGAGCATATTCCTGCGTGCTCGGGGGTGGGGTGGGGGAGAGCACAGTCTGAAGCATTTCTGCAGCGGTCTTCCTAGGAGTGGATTCAGGGGAGGACCATCAGAGTAGACACAAATTTAGTAATTTTGGATGAATATAATTTACTCCTCCCAAAAGCTGAACCAGTATACATTCACACCTACCGTATACAAGAATGAACGCTTCTCCTTTTTGCTAAAAATGGGTATTATTAACCTTCAAAAATTTTGCCCATCCAGTGGTAGAAAGTTATATCATTGCTGTTTTAATTTGCATTTTCTTGATTGGAAAAATGTCTTTTCATGTGTTTATTGAAAAAAAGGTTTACCTTTTCACTAGTAAATCCTCCGTTCATATGCTTATTTTAGAAATTAGGTTGTTTATCTTTTTCTCATGGAAGGTCTTTATCTTTTCTGAATATTAAGCTTTTGTCAATTATTTTACAAATATTTTCTCCAGTTGTTGTCACTTATCTTTTACAAATATGTGGAATATATGGGTAATTTTCCTGTAAAGACTTTAAAAATTATTATTGAATGAAGTCAGTCAGTGTTTACTTTCTTTATGGATTTTGTGGCTTGCTTAACTTGGCCTTCTCCATCTCCAGATTATAAAACTATCTTCACATATTTCTTTTAATATTTTGATAAATTTATTTTTTATGTGTAACTGTAATCCTTCTGAAATTTCTGTTATATATAGTGTGAGTCAGGCGCTAACTCTGTTTTCAACTGGAGAACCAACTTGGTTGACATTATTTCTTATAGAGTCCATCCTTTCCTGCTGATTTGAATGTCCACATTTATAATAATGAAATCCTAATATATTTGTGGGTGTGGTTTTGAAACCTTTATTATTTCCCACTAATCTGTTTGTCTGTCCCTGGGCTAGTGCTGTACTGTTTCAATCAGCTTCATGTTATGTTTTGTTAAATGGTAGCAAAAGCTCTCCTCTTCTTTAAAAAAAAAAAATTGCCTAATCTACAAAGTTTGCCTTCCATATAAACTTTAGAATCAGTTTGTCGGTTTTCATTAAAAATGTTATTGGTATTTTAACTGAAATTAAATACACAGAATAATTTGGGGAGAACCGTCATTTTTACAGTGTTGAGTTCCTAACCAGGAATATGGTATATGTCTCTATTCATTCAGCTCTTCTATTCATGGATGTCTGGAAAACCATTGAGTTTGTTTCTAAGTAGTTTACAGATTTTGATTATGTCTGTTATGGGTGGTATCTTTTCCCATTACACTTTTTCTAATTCTGCATATTAGGTATTTTAAAGCTGTTGATGGATTTAAAAAAAAACAGTGATCTTGATTCCTGGTCATCTTGCAAAACTGTGTATTAAATTCAGTAGTTTTTCAGTTGATTCTCTTGGCTTATTTTGGGGTAATCACATCACCTAAAATGGTGACAGCTCCCTCTTGTCCTTTTTGAAAGTCACACCATTTATTTCTTTTGCTATCTCATTGCTGGAGACTCCAGCACAATATGAAATAGTAGCAATAATGGTGAGGGTACATGTACTGACCCTGACTTCATTCTTTCATTCATTCCCCAGATACTTGGAATTTCCTCTGTGTCAGGCACTGTTTTGGGCCCAGGTGACACAGTTGTGAACTGTTAAGATGATTATTCTTATTTAATTTGTTTACTTAGTGAAACACATGACTAGATCTCCGGTAGATTTCTTAGGTAAATCCTGTAATACACTCTGGATTAAATTTCTTCCGTTTTGTTTAGAATTTTTGTTCCAATATTGGATTGGCCTACAATTTTCCTTTCTGTTCCACCCTTGGTGCCATTGCTATGCTAGCATCTTAAAACATGTTGAGGAGCTTTCTAGTCTTTTCCTGTGCCCTAGAGCAGTTTATATAACACCAGCATTATCTGTTCCTTACGTTTGGTAGATTGTGCACATAAAACTTATTGGGCCTGATGCCTTTTTTAGGGGACAAATCTTTGACTATTTAAAAAAAAAACTTTCATAGTTATTGGCTTAGTTGGGTTTCCCACCTCTTTTTGCATTAATTTTAGTAAAATAAATCAATTTAGCTTAGATTTTAAAATTTTTAACTGATACGTAAAATTTGAACCTATGGCTCCTTTCCTATTTTTAATATTATTTACATGTGTACTCTTTCACGTTTCCTAATTATTAAAGATTAAAATTGCCAAATTTTTGTCTATTTCATAGGTATTTTCCAAAAAAACACCTGATGTACTGTTATTGGTTAGCTTTATGGTATCCATCCTTCCCTCATATTACTACAGGTCCTAGTCATTAGTCCACACTGTCTGCCATGTTGCTCATCATCTTCAGGAAGAAGCTGTCACACTCCCAGCTCCCAAGTGGGTGGCTCATTGGCTTGATCTAATTAGCATAGTCCAGTGCCCGGCCACCTGACCCCAGTTAGGTTATCCCAATAAGCATAAGGTATGGTTAGAGGAGAGAAATGCATACTGTCTCTCTTTTTTTTAAATTTTTATTTATTTATTTATTTTTGGCTGCGTTTGGTCCTCGTTGCACGAGGGCTTTCTCTAGTTGTGGTGAGCGGGGGCTACTCTTCCTTGTGGTGTGCGGGCTTCTCATTGCGGTGGCTTCTCTTGTTGCAGAGCGTGAACTCTAGGCATACAGGCTCAGTAGCTGTGGCACACGGGCTTAGTTGCTCCGCGGCATGTGGGAATCTTCCCGGACTAGGGCTCGAACCCGTGTCCCCTGCATTGGCAGGCGGATTCTTAACCACTGCACCACCAGGGAAGTCCCCATACCGTCTCTCTTAATGTGGATGAGGAGGCAGAAGGATGCTGGCAACCATTTTTCAATAAGGGGATCAACTCAGAATGAAGCCACCATCACTGAAGACAGGAGACAGAAATTTTAAGCCTGTTTGAGTGGAAGTTTCTCTTACTTGTCAACTCCTAAATGGTACAAACTACCTTTTGATTTTAGTGATCAAATATGCTTCTTTTTGTTTATTTTATTTCATGAAAGTTCTTTTAGCTTTAGTAATTCAATCTTCTCCTTTGGGGAGATTTACTTTATTGTTCTTTTTCTAACTTCTTGAGTAGTATGCTTAGTTCATTATTATAGACTTTTTTCATTTCTAATATTTTCACTAATTCCATAAAATTTCCTGTGAGTCTCACTTTGGCCGTATTTCACAGGATTTTATATGTACTGACCTCATTGCCATTCATTCTATATTGTTTTTTATTTCACACTGTATTTCTTACTTAACCCAAGAGTACTATATGGGTGTTATTTAATCTTCTGACGGATAGTTTGGGGGAGGGACAGGGGCTTCTCCTTTTTCTCTATTAAAAATTATATCAATATGGATTTAATTATTTCCACATTCTGGAATGTGTTGAGGTTTTCTTTGTGCCTAGTATTTGGTCAGTTTTATTGAATATTTCATGTGCGTTTGAAGTAAAAGTGTGTGTTTTGAAACAGAGTTCTAGCTAGAACTGACTGGATCAGGCTTGTTGATTGTGTTATTCAAATCCTCTAACACTTCAAATATTTTATATCTATAAATCTGTTGATTCCTGAGCGGTTTATCATGAGAATTCAGAGTTTGTCTATTTCTTCCTGCAGTTCTAACAATTCTTGCTTCATGTTTGAAAGCTGTGTTGTTAGGGGTGCAAGGTTCATGCCTGCTGTACCATCTTGATGGGTTATACCCTATCAGTGTAAAATATGCCCGTTGTCCTATTTAATATTATTTCTTTTTACAAAGATCCAGATCATAGAGTTCATTCCTAACTCTGCTGTAATAATTGGTTAGGGTATAATTTTATATTTTGTACATGTTTCTTACAGATTTTCCTTGGGGTTATTTTGTACCTTTTACAGTTTCTTGCTTTGAACATTTAATTCATTTATTTTCATTCTTTGTTATTCGATAATAAATACCTTTAAGGTTATAGATTTGCCTTGACCACACTCAAAAAGTTTTTTTAATGCATTGCTCTAATTATTAGTATTTTCTAAATAGTTTATAGAATGTTTTTATTTCCTTGAAATAAGTTAACCAACTTTATTTTTAAAATTTTCAAGTCATTTGTTTTATTTCACTTACTCATTCTTATTAAATCTTTGTTTCATTGCATCATCGTAAAATATGTGGCCTAAACTAGTTCCACTTATAGGGAAATTATTGTGGTTTTCTTAGTAGTCTAGTGTGCAGTTGATTTTTATAGATGTTCAATCCCTCAAAGATAGACAAAGCTGGAGAAGACTCTCCCACTGCAAGTGAGGTTTTTCCATTTCTCGTGTATCACTGTTTGATGTTGTTACTGATGACCAGCTTTAATGTTACATAGTCATTATAATTTTTATCTTTTTTCAACAGAAAG